CATTTGAGATTGTTGAGGTCTTGAGTCGAGAACTACACGATAAAACACAGAAGGTGATATTTTAATGGCGTTGGCAGGGGGAAAAGGGGGAAACCCGCGTGCAAGCTAGCCCAGTCCTTCGGGGTCGTTGAGTAAGTGGGTGGACTAGTTAGGATGGTTTAAGGACAGAGAGCATAAATTCTCGATACGAGGGATGACCCTGATGCACGCGAACTTCCAGGATCCCCTTTTTTCACATTGGTCTGCTTTTCCCTCCCCGAGAGAGGAAAAGCTTCTAAGGTTGAAGGTGAAATGCATTTCAACATTATTCTAGGCAAATTCATGAAAATCCCAGGGTCTTGGTGAAGCGAAATGATCAAAAGACTTTTTTTCAATTCCAGGAAAATCTTCAATCTCTCCGAGAGTCTGACAAAAAGTCGGTTGGTACATCAGGGCAAGGATGGTTCTATTTTCATAACGGCTATTCCGATGAGAGATTGAAGGGAGGAATCATGCACAAAGAGGAAAGCTACTTGCTTTCGGCCATCGGGTGTTCAATATTATCGCAGAGTAAAGGAAAACCCTTGGATCAACGGGCGTACACTGGCAACGTCTAAGTCATCCACTTGAATCACATCCATTTCTCGTATATGGCAAGTGAAATTATTTTTCGTAATTATTCATCCACACCGTCTCTATTATTTCCACAACAAATTAAACAATTCGAGGAGTGAGTGTGAGAGACATTTATAGATCCGAGCTGTGGCATGTGCGAAGATCAGGGTGAGGAAACATACCGATAGAAAACGAGTACGACAGGCGTTGGAAACCGTCACCTGCTGGACATACCCAGCTGACATACCGAGCGCCCCTTGAATGCCAGTACAAGTCACTAAACCCATCTCCAAACCCGTGTTTCACCGTTCATCGGACACATTCCAAGATTCCAAGACGTTGCCATCAGGTGTCCCACAAGTACGTGATGGCTCGTTCCACAACCCCAAAGATTTTCTCAGTCCTTCCAAGTTGATCGATTATAAATCAGAGGGTTGGTGAAAACAAAAGAGCAAACATTCATTTGATGGATCTCTCCAATTTTTTTTTTCCTCCTCTCCCTCTCCCTCTCCTTCTCACTCTCTTTCTCTCTCACTCCACCCTTAGGTCGAGGGATAGACATTGCGTGTAGCAACACTTGGTAAATGTCCCGAGAATAAGGACAACTCGGCTTGATCGATGAGTGGCCCGTCAGTTGGCAACACTTTTAATTAAACTCAGCCCTCAAGATTAACTCACCCCAATTTTCCGAGGCTCGTTGGCTGTTATAATTGTTTTAAATCTCATACTTCCACCCTCCTGGCAGTTCCAAGGAGAGTGAAGAAAGGAGAAAAAAAAGCCACAAGAGGTTGTCCAAGGGGTGACAGATATCAACCTCTTGTTGCTGTCTTGCTACCGTCAAAGCGACATTAATCTCTCTTTTATTCTTTTAATCTCTCACCCTCCCCGACAAATTCACTGCCATAACTCCTCGATTCAAGAATCCCGGTACCATCAGTACCGTCAGTGTTTGACCATTTTTCGGCCAACGAGTGTTACCCCAAAGTCCAAATGTTTGAGCTGAACGAAGGAAGAGCCCTGGGATGTGGTGAATGTAGTAATTGCACCGTTGGCTAAGTTATAGACTATTCTCTCACGAATGGCCCACAGGCATCATCCACTCTACCTTCCCCACCACCGAGGGATATCACTGGTGTAACATTCACTGGGTTCCATGTGCTCATAGCAAACTTGTTACCCACAAACCCTCAGTACGTAATAGCGTTACTGCATATTGCTCTTACAAATCCATCCCCCAGGTGGAGTCAATTCGATCTCAACATCAACTCGGACATATTCATTAAGTAAACGGTGTATTGATTAAACACAAACTCGAGTGAATGCCTCATCCAGTACGATCCAAGAAGACATTTCACCACGAGTACTCCCTTGCCCTCCAAATAATCGAATACCAAAAATAAAAATTTATAAATAATTCCCCCGAGTGCCAGTGTACCATCAAAGTGGCCAAATTGATAAAAAGAATATTTATCACAGACGCTGTCCAGCACACCAGGGATATTTTTAAATTCTCAAATTGAAGCCGCACAACAATTCTAAAATACCCAGTCTCATTGAGGTCATGAACTTGAAATAAAAATTTAAATAAATCATGCAAATTTGAAATTCCCTCAGTTGTTTCAAGCCCTTACTCTGAAGAAAGATTATTCCCCAAGACGTTTTACCGCGTCATCTCCGTCTCATCCGGACTGTCAACACAGCGCATTATGAATGCGAGCCAATTTAAAATTCATTACAAGAGGAAGGCGAAACCCAAGCGCAAGAGCAACTCTACTCCCTACCAACTCGGCTTTTCCCTGTCACTCGTTTAATCTCCGGGTGGGGATAATTGTTCGTCACTGGATGGAAGCCATTGAGTAGCGAGAACAAACCCACTTCTCTTGGAGGGGTTGAGAAACGAGAAGAAGAGCAATCTCTTTGGGCGCCTTGTTTATTTAAATAATGTACATGAAGGAGAAATGGTATATCTGGAGATGGAAATGGATGACTACAAGGCCTCGAAAATCCGCTTGAAAATTTGGGGTGAACGAGATATAGACCAACTGTAGATGATACCTCTAATAGGGCGTGTATTCAATATCAGCTGTCACTTTAAATGTTTTTCATTTTAATTTTGCTACTGCTGTCTCAAAGACACCGCAAACCCATTCATTGAATTTTGACTATTTGAAAAATCTATAAATACGCGGCATCGAGCATGTGTTCACAGCCCCCAGCATCTGAGTCTATATTTATTTCACCAAGATACGAAATTCGAAGTAGCTCGAAATTTGCACTAGGAAAATCAATTGAAAAATTGAAATTTAATTGGGATTTGCGAATGAAGAAATGATGCGTAAAGAGGCGAACAATTGCCTGGGATAATTCAATTGACCGAGGGTTGAAATTCTATTCAGATTTTTTTTTTTATCTACCCAATGTCGACCCCTCGTCGATTGTACCGCCTAGTCCCATCAAACTCAAACTGGAAAAGCTGTACAAGCGCCTTGTCCCATTTTGCAAGTGTCGTCGGTGCGCCGGGCTAATTTGTCAGTTGTCGAGTTAGCGTCCTCCCGAGGATTGAATACAGGGTGGTTTCAGGGTAGAAACCGGGTGAGGGGTTCTAGCTCCATCTCAGAGTATAATCAACTGGTGAATATCTGAACTACCTCCGAAGCTTAACACACCCGGTGGATCCGGTTACTTGACTGTTTCAAAATTTTCACTTAATTTCCGACCCCCTCAAAAATACCAACAAATTATGTACAATTCAATTCCCGATAAATCGCTCCCAATTATTCAACCGCTACTTGAAAATAAACACTAGCTTGGAAAAAGAAATAGTGAATTATTGGAGTGCAAACAGAAAAGAAAAATGCCATCAACGGAAAATGCCAAGACATCCCATCAACAAATAAAGACAAATAATTCCGACAAGATAACTTCGTAAATCACGAGATGTTTTGACACGTCAGAAGCTCGAGAAATAACAGGGGGCATTTGTTCATACCAGAGAGGAAAACGACGTGGATACGTGACACTGTGTTACCGAGGTAAAAGGTGGAAACGTCACGTTCTTACCCGTTTGGCCTCGCGGGAACGATGTCTCAAACGATCACGATTCCTGGGGCAAAATATCTTATCCCGACTGAAACAGGAACAGAGAGGCACGCACCTGCAACTGTCGTGTGTCCCTGTCTTAATTTTTTTTTTCCTCTTTTGGCTCGTGCCTCAGAATCCCCCGGGCATGGGAAAATATGGGCCCAGAGGTGGATGGACCCATGGGGGCGGCAGTGCGACCCACGACGATTACTTTGTCATAGGCAATTTATACAATTGGCATGGACATAACCCTGATATTCGACACTGGGGAGTTTTGAATTTATGTCTCTACTCCAGAAAAATTAGACGAGTCCTCTAATCTAAAGGAAACAATTCCAATAATTCAGTAACGAAGTAACTCATCCAATAGCATGATTAATTATCAATTTATTCGAAGAATTATCAACCTCAGGTTGAAACGTCAGAGGAATTTTTTGTAGGCAATTAAATTTCCGAGAGAAAATGTCTCTTGATAATTTTTTGTCAAATGGATAGTTCTCGGAAGAATGGATGTTATTCAGATGATTTTGAAAATGGATGTGGCTGAACGGGTTGGAGTGTCCAAAGACATCAACATTCATTCATCTTGAGTTTTCTCCTGCCTCGATTGGTATTCCAAAAGCATTCGGTGGGGATCCACACGGCATTGGGGACATGTGTCACCCCCAACCCCCATTATTTTTTTTTTCCTCCACGAGACCGATTGGAAACGGAGGGAAATAGCCCTTTTAAAATTGCATCGAGTTACCACCGTTAGAGGCACGTGTGTTTTTTTTAATGTCCCCCAGAATTCTTACGATAACGCTACCTTAAACATTTATCCAACGGTTATCAGACTACGTGGCACGAATGACCACGATCCATTTTCACTCTGAGATATTTTCACGAGTATTTTATACCGAGCCACCCCCAAATTCTCCAGGGATTTTTCTCCTATGCTAAAGAGCTAAATTGTTTGGAGGAAATCACGAGTATTTATGAGAGCTGTTTAAAAATTTGAAATGTTTTTTTTATCGCCTATTTTTTTAATAACTAACGGATAAAATTATCAACAAATGAATACCATTGGAAAAAAAATCTATCCCAACACCACACTGGCATTGTTTTACCCCCAAAACGACACTGAAACTTTTCCCATCGATTTCTGGGATGAAAGAGTCTCCATTATATGACCCTCGCCCCAAAATCCCCGGAGGCGAAAACTTCCTCCAATGATTAACCGAAGTTAAGACCACTGACGAGTTCCACATACGTCAAACCACGATAAAGAGACCGCCGGAATTTACTCACCCCTAGAAAACAATAGAAGGCCTGTGTCTCCCTGAAGTGCCACCCTGTCGACGAAAATCTGTCTAAAATCCAAATTGCCCGTGTGACTGAACCGAGAGAGCCCTCCAAAATGAGTTCCATCAGATATTTACTCCCTCCAATGATGAGAAAGAGCTTCTCCACGACTTGTACACGTCTCTCCGAGACTCCAACGACCCCTGGAATAATCTCCAAGCTGAAGAACATATTCTCCGGTGCCTCAGGTAATGAAAATAACGCCTAATCACCCCAGAGTCTATTTCCTCCTCAATATTCTAGAGAGCATCATGAACCAGCAGAGAAGAGCTCTGAATGTCGATACATCATCCCCGAAAATCCCCGAAGACGGCCTCAATAAACCCCAGAAGAGGGAAACAAGTGGGTTGAAGAGGAAATGGGGGGTCAACATAACGGACAGCTCCATTGAGAAGGAACTCCTCGAGGAGCACACACCGAATTTCGTTCTCAAGCAGAAATGGGGGGTTAATCTGTACGAGCCAATTAAACCAGAGAGAAAAGACCCAAGACAATGGATCCCTCAGATACCCCAACGGGAGATAAAATCATCAGATCTGACGTCAATACTGGAGAGACAGTTCATGGACTCCATGGAGAATCAGAAAGTACTGGAGATGAGGAACGAGAATCCTCCACCCATTATCGATCCTGGGATTTCTGTGGTCCTACCACTTGACGAGGTCCTCGATCCTCTCAAGCCAAGTAATGAGGAATTAGAAATTAAATCACCAATTGCGTTTGGAGAGGTTGAGGAGGAGGACGCGGAGACCGAGACACATCTCAAGCCCGAGGAGACGAGTCTGGAGGACAGTGAAGAGGATGAAGTTGCTGCTTGGCAGGAAGTGATGGCCCGGACAAAATTGAAATCTGAAGAGTTGGCGATGAGCGCCAGGAAGACGAGAACTAACCCACAGGACAGACTGGGGGACGAGAGATTCTCCATTCTTCCAGAACCCCCAGCACCCAAGCTAGATGTAGCTGTCATGCAGCCCCTGGACTCCAAGCTCCAGGAGTTTGTGGCTCCTAACGATATTATACTGGATGTCAGGAACGTGCTGCATCGTGTGGACTCCAAGAAATTTCACACCCTGAGCTTTTTCTTTCTCTGTCTGTCGATGGAAGAGCGTGATAGATCTGACGATATCCAGTACCTTCCCATCAATATTTTTGATAATGCTGGTGACGCAGAAGAGTTTGAAGAAGGCTTCGAAGAAAAGGAAGAGGATGCTGAGAGTTCTGAGCCCCTGAATGCAGTGGAATTGGAAAAAAACAGTGAAATCCAGGATCTTCAGAAGATCGTCGAGGAGAAAATCCCGAGGATGACTGATAAGGCGAATGAGCCCATGATAAAGGACGTTGATGATTACGTCAAGATTCCTGGGGATCCCTATCCCTTCACGAGAGAGTACTTCGATAAATGGCAGATGACTGATGGGAGTTCCTTCCATCGTGGCCATAAACATGAATAATTTTGTACTCTACGAAATTTTTTGAAGAGATTCTATGATATTCGTCCTTTTTTTTTACGTCAGAATTTGAAATAAAATTGAATCAATATTGAAAAATGTCCAGACGCTTTGATTACGATGTAAAAACACCAATCCAAGACAATTAATTTATTTCCCTCCAGATACCTCGAAGAGCCGTGAAATCCCAGCGAAAAAATCGAGAGAGGAACACCCCTGGGCCTCGCCGAACTGGAACGAAGAGCGGAAGTTACCAACTGACAACAACGAAAGAAGGGTGAAGACCATTGATGTAGAACGTACAATTCACCCGGAAATGGATCCAACCAACCGCAGTGTCCCACCCCTGACCCACCGTGAGTTCATTAATTCTTCTCGTCTCCTTCACCCCTCACTATCATTGATTTTTAGGTGTTGGCAGAGCTGTGCACAGACTCCTCTTCGGTATGACCGAGGAAGCCCCAGCAAGTGCCCAAGAATCATCAAAACTATCCAGAAAACCGAGAAGTAATGGCACAAAATAATTTACAAAGAATATCTCTGGATCCACACGAGATAGTAAATCGTTGGTAGAAACATTTTCTACAGCTTGTGTTTCATTCTGAAGAAGTGGTTCAGCAAAAAATTTCGCTGTCTCTCATGAATTCAGAGATATTCCCCGAAAAATCAGGGAGTGAACAAGTTGTTCATCAGCCTCTTTACTCTTGAAATCCTCATTTCCTGAGAGAGATTAATTTTCAGCGATAACCGCGGAGGAGGCAGCGAGAATCTACGAGTCGAAGAATTATCCCTACCTTCGTCCCCAGGAGCTGAAGATTGACAGACACCCCCTCTCAAAACCAAAATCCAAAGTCTCCAACTGATTGAATTGAATTTCAAATTGTTCACTCAATTATTCAAAAATGTATTCATTCCGAGAAGGCAATTAAACCCCCTAGCGTGTCGAACATCCAAAATTATCCGAAAAATCTTCCCCAACTCGTGCATAACCAGGACAAAATGATAGTCCCGAAGGATAATACCCGAGGACACTCATGGAAATTGTCGAGAATTTGGTGGAAAAAAAATTGTTTTTTTCACCAGATGCGTGTCCCAATTAAATTCCCAATGGATGGCTGGCTGTTCGAAGCACCCAATCATTCAAATGGCGTTGGGTTCCTTCACCAGCCCAAAAATATTCCTCTAATACCCGACTATCCACCGAATCCAGAAGGTTCCGCTGGCTAATCTAACGACATGAAGGTGCCAATCTGTAAAAAGACCAGGTGCAGGTCCAATCGATGCTTGAACTAGCCAACAACCAATACAATGTACCATAGCAGGTGTGAGATTAATCCTTCAATTGAATTTCAAAACCGAAAAACAGTAGCCAATTTCCCACAAAGCGATTGCCATTGAAAATTGCTCACCCCTGGATTATCCTCAAATGAAAATGATTGAAAAATAAAACCCAACACGTAACAATTTGCTCTCCATTGGTTGGGAATTCCAGGAGATGTTCGAGAGAGTAGATATGAAAATGCATACAGTGGCTGGTGTATGCACCGGAAATGTGGAGTGGCCATTGGATTGGCACTGGTAGCAGTGGTTTATTTACGACTCAGAACTGCTCCGGGATCGCCTCGCCTTGACCCCTACCTCTCCATCTATTTCTTATTTTCATTGGGTGCCTTCTGCGAGAGAGAGGGATCGATACAATCTCCAAGACGTACACGCTGGATCATCCCAACTTCTCCTCAGACTCGCAATACATTGAAGGGACTGTATAAAAGATCATCCCAGTGGTTCTATATTACTCACATCACCGGTGTTTTCACTCTGGCCGATCGCCACCGATATCATAACTCCCTGTCGTAGACACAGAATCTAAAATCCCCCCACCATATCCTGTCTCTCTCTTTTTTTCTTATTTTTTTTCAAGCTGCGATAGTTAATACCGATATAGGGTATGTGATACACCGGCAGGATGACGGACTTCACCACGCGGAAATGAGATACCTTCCCTGAGAATTTTTTATTTCATCAATCTTAATTCCCATCGCTCCTTGTTATCTGTTACTGTCCTACAATTACCTTTTGTCAGCGTTGGAATTTTCTGGGATTTTTTACAGACTGAAACGACACGTGGGGATATGGATTTCATGGCCAGCAGGTCGCGTGGCTTTTCAAAAATCGACTAGACAAAAATATAGACGACCTTTTCAGATGAAAAACAAAAATAAGTGGAATTCCTTGTCATTTTAATAAGACAGGGATATCATTCCTCCTACTTTCACTCCAGAAATGCCTAAATCAACCGTGATTACTTCCAACATCACCAAGAATGAACACGCGATTTTTGCGTACCCAGGGTTGTGCCCATCGAGGCAAAAAGCCACGATCTCCCCTGCAAGTCACCCCCAGATCGTTGATCGCAGGCGACCACAATCACCAAACAGTCGTCCAACCCAAGTAAAAATAGTGACACGCCAAAAAAAGAGCCCGATAAATACAGTGGGGTAAAATAAACAAAATCACAGACAGCTATGATATCCTTCACTTACCAAACTAATATGACAGGCAGCCTGGGTTTTGTCTATAGTCAGGGTTTCGTCATTTGACAACAGCACACGGCAGAAGTGAGTGATTAATCGACGTCAAGTACAGGCTCGTGCTGAACCCGTCGACGAAAAATAAGAGGACCCCCTCAAATGATCCACCACTCCAACGAGGCACATGAAGAAAAAGTCTTCTCCAGGTCTCCAGTCTCCAGACAAGAATCCAGTAATTATCTCGTGGGAAGACAACCAACTGTTGGCTCCAATACGTCACGCACAACACCACAATTTACCGGAAAAACACTTGCGGTGGCTGAACAATATTCCCTGGATTATCGTGGATAAGTTGTACACAAATTGGCTACCACGACTCTCGTGTCGTACGTCCAAGTAATTTTCCACCGTCTTTGATCCACCGGGGATAAAGTATTAAAAGACAATCACAATGTTTCATCATCCAGCACCACAAATCCAATAACATTTACCCAAGTGTCCACATCGGTTAATCGAATTAATTGAATCATTACGACAGACGTTGAGCTGATGCTCCAAGGTAATTAGTCAAAAGTCCTTGATCGCATCATTGTTGCTCGACTCAGCCAACTGGAATAAGCTGATCTTCCACTGGAGCACTGTCTGCTTGAAAATTACATCACTCGACAACACCAAAGCACTTTTCCCCGGTTAAATTCACTCGAAGCACTCGGGCTCGTTAAAACACATAGAAATAACTTCACTCCAGCTACAAGCAGCTGTCTGTTGACAAGAGTTTTGACAGAGCCGTTGACAATGTCTATTCTGCTCATCCCAATGTAGCGCCATTAAACGACGATAAATCTTTCTTTTTTTTTCTTAACCAGCAAAGCACTCATCTTACTCTGTTAAATTTCTATTTTCGGGGCGAATGTCTCCTGGCACCGACGTTGTCCCGATGACTAACAGCTTGTATAAACAACACCCACTAGCGAATATCTCGGTTTGTCTCCGAGGCTTGTTCTCATCATCGAGGGTGGTTAAATCGTATTTATGACTTACTCTGTCGTGTTTCTCACTGTGTTTGTCAACTGCTTGTCTCCCATTTTACAAACAAACAACCTCTCGACACTGGCTCCATTGTCGGCTCCATAGTCGGCTCCATTCGTGCATCTCCGGTTGCTTTTCTAGATTTTTTGGCGGTTAATTTGCCGCGCTTTTCACCTGATGCGTGCGCGACTCGTGGAATAAAGTGGCAACTCAACTGATAGAGACGCGTCGCGAATAAAAATTTTTCTCCGGTAATAATTCAGTGTTATACGATGTATTGTCACGTCTCAACGATTAATTGTGGTGTTTTAGTGAAGTTTATAGGTTTACAGACTCGTGTATACTGAAAATTTCAGGAAATATCGGGTTGGTGCGTGTTAAATCATTTTTGTTAAAATTTTCATTGTCGTGATGTGCAATCCACCGATTCCTCGGAAATTTCGTGCTGCACTGCCTCCGAATTTTCTACTCGGAGTCGATATAAAATGGATCGTTTTTAAATTTATTATCACGTCTCGATTAATTTTGGTGTTCTAGTGGTTTTTATTGTTTGACAGACCCATGTGCCCGGAAAATTTCTGTGAATATCGTATTGTGTTGATGAACAATCATTAATTATTGGAAATGCTTCGTTGGACTGTCGCCGAATTTCACAATGGAAGCCGATATAAAATGGAGGAATGAGCCCCCCAGAGGATGAATTACGGAAAAGTGAAGTGGTGAGTACAAAAAAAAATTTACCTCGCATGTTTACTCGGCGGAAAGTCCCTCGTAAAGACAGACAAACAGCCTCCGGCCTTGGAGATGGTTGATATCCAAACTCGACTGTTTCGTGTCCATCGGCTATACACGATTACCATCCTCTGGGCATTCGTTGATTACCAGGTCGCCAAGTCCTCATCTCTCTCGTCTAACCGGAGGATTTTAATTAGCACCGTTTGCGAGGAACAAACATTAGCCCCTTCAACCCTCGGATTGCGAAATAAAAATTATTCCAATGCTAAATACTATCGATGAACGAGCACTCGTTCCCAGAAATTGAATTATTCGATTCTCTCTATCCCACGAATTAATTAATCAATTAATTCGATGGATTTTGTGAATTGACGGCGATAATTCCGAGAAATTCATCAATTAAAAAAATTTAAAAACCGCGTAGTCCATCGAAAATAAATCCTTTGAGGCAACCAACACTTCCAGGCGTGGCTGAGCCCCCAAATGTGTCCCCATCGGTATTTCTGGAGTTGTAAACGTCCGTGTCACTCATTACAGGCGTCACCTCCATGACAAATGATATGTTGTCGCAATAGCCAGAGGAATTCCTTTGAAATACCACTCCAACCCCAACAAATTCAATGAACTTCACCGGATAACTCGGAAAAAAAATGTAAAATCCCGTCATGATCTCTTCAAGCCTGAATTAATCTAGAGTCAATTACCACAACGTGCGCAACGCCCCGCGAATCCAGATCGTTTGCCCTCGCACGAGTGATCCGGAGGGGTGAACGATCTTTTTTGATCCTGGATATCATTAATCACATGCTTCTTAGTGTGGAATCCCCCGGTGTCTAGTTT